ATTTGATTCCTAGGTACAAACTCAAGAGAAAGGAAAACATATGTCCACACAAAAACTTGTGCATGATTGTTCGTACCAGCACTATTCATAACAGCCAAAAGGTGGAAACAACCCAACTGTCCATATCAATGGATGAATGGATAAGCAAAAGGTGGTACAGCCACAAGATGGAATATTATTCAGCCATAAAAAAGACTAAAGTACTGATAAATGAAACATCATGCGAGGTGAAAGAACCAGTCACCAAAAGCCACATACTATAAAATTCCAATTATATGAAATGTCTAGAAAAGGCAAATCTGTAGACACAGAAAGTAAGGATAAGAAGATGAGGATATTGTCGGGGGGGGGGAGTGATGGTTGCGCAACTCTTGTAAAGAGACAAAACCATTGAATTGTACACTTCAAATGGGTGAAATACAGCGTATGTGAATTCTATCTCAATAAATAAAGCTGTTAGAAAAAAAAAAGTCAATAAACTGATGTATCTCCAAATCAGAAGCTAAACAGCAGTGAGTTCACGATCTTAGCAGACTTCCTGTTCTGCCCCCACACTGACTCAGGCCGCCTTGGCCACCTGCACAACACACATCCTGGAAAAGGCTTACCAAGAGGGTAGGGGGTGAAAAGAACAACTGCCTGTCATTGTTCAAGATGAGGTGAGAAAAAATTAACTAATGATTATTCTTCTGTTCTAGTCCAGTTGCCCTTCAAATGCTCCTTTTTTAATTTTGCCTCCTGTCTAGCTCTGCTGGGCAAAATGGAAGGCCAGTGGGCTTGTCAATCTGATGCAGAAATGCAAGGTGTGAAATGAAGCTCTAGCAACAGGCTGGTTTTTCTTAAAATTAAATGCAAGCTCCAAGGCTGGAAATCAAGGCTGGAAAGTCTAAATACCAAGTCTATTAATCATTTGCAAGTCACTTCCCTCCTCACGATTTTGTCTCAGAAACAAACAAAAGCTCGATGTTTGGGCATACTCACTGCATCCTTTGTTTTAATGATGTTTTTCAAAACTTAAGCAAATTGCTGATGGAAAAGAGCAAAGGCAGGATCTAATTCAGCTGCCCCAGTTTGAAAAGTTGGAGAAGATTGCCAATAGGATTCCGAAACCTGCAGGTATTTAAAAGTAAAAACAGACAAGAAATGAGGCTTGCAATTCATGAGAGCGGCTATGAAGGTGTGTAATTATGACTGAGACTGAAATATAATCTTATCACTTGGAAATTTTGTTCTTTGCTCTACTTTTCACCAATCGATGCTATATATAGACATACTCACCAGGGAAATTCCTTAGGCAGAGGCAAAAAAAGAAAAATTATACTTTCCCTTTTCTTGAAAACTGTTAGTACTGTTAATTCAAACTCAAATAAATATTTATTTAGGTGGTGATATTGAGAAGACTTTCAAATGATGTGTTGGTTTCACTAAACGAGGAGAGCTGATCTTTATTGCCTGTTCTCAGATCCTCTCGTGTTTTATCTCATTTAATTCCTATAGCTACCCTATGAGGTAGGTACCATTATTATTATTATCATCATCATTACCACCATCATCATTATCCTATTTTGCAGATGAAGAAAGGCACAGAGAAGTTAAGTAACTTGCCCCAGGTTGCACAGCTACTATAAATAATAGAACTGAAGTTTAATCCTATCAGACTACAGAGTCATGTTCTTAACCACTGTTATATTCTGTCTCTCCAGTAAATTGACAGTTCTTAATTTTACTTTTTTTTTTAAAGATTTTATTTATTTATTTATTTGCCAGAGAGAGAGAGCACAAGCAGAGGGAGTGGCAGGCAGATGGAGAAGCAGGCTCTCCCCGCTAAGCAAGGAGCCCGATGTGGGACTCAATCCAAGGACCCTGAGATCATGACCTGAGCCAAAGGCATATGCTTAACCAACTGAGCCACCCAGGTGCCCCTTAATTTTACTTTTGATGCTTCCACTTTGAAGAGTTGAACATGTTAGAACATTGGAAAGAGTTGAACATGTTAGAACATTGGAAAGAATTAATGTACACAATTATATTGTTTCATTTACTATATGTTGCCATTTTCCTTACATAATACATGTGTTTTGGGTACCATCTGATGCAAGTGGTGACTTTAGCCCACCATGCGGTAGAATGTGCTTAAGAAACTTTGCATATGCTATTCCCTTCCCCAGCATGCTCTGCCCTCCCTCTTCTCTGCATTACCTAGCTAACGTCTACCAATCTTCAGATGTCAACTTAAAATATCACTTACCATCAAATCGGTATTGTTGTATCCTTTGGGTAAATACCTAGTAGTATAATTACTGGGTCATAGGGTAGTTCTATTTTTAACTTTTGAGGAACTTCTATACTGTTTTCCAGAGTTTATAGCAGCATTATCAACAATAGCCAAAATACGGAAAGAGCCCAGGCGTCCATCAATAGATGAATGGATAAAGAAGATGTTGTGTATACACACACACAATGGAATATCACTCAGCTATCAAAAAGGAATGAAATCTTGCCATTTGCAACCATGTGGATGGAGCTAGAGTATATTATGCTAAGCAAAATAAGTCAGTCAGAGAAAGACAAATGACATATGATTTCACTCATATAGGGAATTTAAGAAACAAAACAGATGAACATAGCGGGGAAAAGAGAGAGAGAGAGACGTAAACCATAGAGAGACTCTTCACTATGGAGAACAAACTGAGGGTTGTCGGAGGGGAGGTGGGTGGGGGGATAGGTTAAATAGGTGATGGGGATTAAGGAGGCACTTGTTGTTATGAGTACCAGGTGTTATATATAAGTGATGAACCACTAAATTCTACTCTTGAAACTAACTAACCCTAACTAACTGTTATATAAAACGTCCCAGACAAGCTTTCCTTGACCTCCCCTTCGCTCACTCCTCTGTTCACTTACCCTCCTACACTTTGCCTTTGTAGCACTTTCTAAGCTTGTAATCAAATGTGGAACTAGTTGTTTAATGGCTAGCTCTCTCCCCTTCTATAACACAAGTTCCATGAGGACAGAGACAGGGCTTGTCTTGTTCACGCCTCTCCTGTGCTTTGCAGAGAATCTGCTATGTTTTGCTGATGTGTAAGCAGGAAATGCATAAAGGAATGCACGAGACATCAGTTGTGCCCTTGTGTTGCTTACATTTCAGTCATGTTGTATACGAGCACATATCTAAAGGGGGAAATGAGTTTAGAAGGAGAAGGAGCTCCTCAGAGAAGGGGCTTATCAAAGCTATAACATTTGAGCTGATCCTGGGACAATGAGCCAACATTCTAGATGGAGAACATCCAAGAGCCAAGCATGAAGCTAGGCAAGCACAGCCTGCTGAGTAAATTGCTGTGGTGTATTCATACTTATTTAGAAAATAAGGTGAGAAAAGAGTAAAACAGCAAATGTTGTTTTTCTGTCACTTGAAAGCACTTAGGAATAGGCTGCCTTTTGTGGCCTAAAGACAAATGGAATTGCTTAGCCTGAAGACAGCTGTCTTCATGTATTGATGAAAATTATAAAAGCCAAGATACAAAATATAGCTTGTGCCTTTAACCCATGCACCATCCCTCACTGAGAAGAAAAAGAAAAGAGCCCTGGATTTCTGAGAATAGATGGGGAAGACATCTCCTTTTCTCCTCTGCTTCATACAGTTTTCCTATTCCCCATGAGGAGGATGAGGTTGCAGAATTTCTCAGCCAAGTCAGGAGGAGTCGCTTAAAAATCAGTTCGTCACTTTTTAAGCTCAAAATCAATAGAAGAAATCACACAGAGATCAATAGATTTAACTCCATAAAAATTAAAAATTGCTCTATGTCAAAAACTCACACAACCTAAATGAAAGACAAACAATACACCAAGAAAAATATTCCCCACGGCTATGATGGCAAAACCAGCGCAGGCCAGTTCCGTTCAACACCTCCCAGCCATGCATTCCAGAGGAACTAGAACTGGGGGGCCTGGGGCACCCTGAGCTCAGCAAGACAGTTTCTGTTCTCATGGGGTTCTGCTGAGAGGGCAGGATGTATAGATGGACCGTTCCACGGCGATGTTGGGAGGGCACAGGGGCTCTGACAAAAGAGAATGATGGGCACCTCGTGTGGCCCAAGGTTCAGGGTAGGCTTCCCCCAAAGAGGCCTCAGACCCATCAAAGCTGAAGAGAATTTATCCAAGGCGACAAGGGGAAGAGGAGGAGAGGACTTAAAATAGCGAGGACAGTGACCAAAGGCATGGAAACGTGAAACATCTTGGTCTGTAGGTGTGCACTGGGGTTGGTGACAACTTCTTCAGGGTTCTGAACGGGCAATGTTGGGAGTGAGGGAGACGAGGCTGGACAGGTAAACTGGGATGCTGATGGGGAGCCATGGAAGCCCGGAACAAGAGCCTGGACAGGGAAGGCAAAGGCAAATCTTGCGAGACAAGGAAGAAGGTAGGATTGGGTAGAGTTTATGGCATGATCGCTTTAGATTGGTGAATACAGCAAGGTTAGGACTTTGAAGTGAGTTTTGATGAGCACACCCTTAGTCTGGATAACTGTGTAGGTGATTCACAGCCTCACCTTGCAAGAATTGGTGTTTCCTCTGAGTGGGCAACTAAGCTATGCTTGCTTGATCTGAGCACGGCTTATCACAGGCACCGGAAAGTGTAACCAGTCTGAGAGGTGTTTAACGAGGGGACAGGAAATTGCGTTGGTTTTAGCACAAGCACCTTACCTAAGACTGCCTTGCTTCGGCACCCCACCCCCAAACCAATCCCATCCCTGCATGAGGTTTTGGGTGAACAAACCAGAAGAGGGGTCCAGATGGAAGGACAGAGAGGAGTGCTGATCTCAAGACAAAAGTTGTAAGCTGGTACCTTCGGGAGACACAGTGGGATCCTCTGCGAAGGGTTTACCATTTTTAGTTGTTCTTTTCCCATAGACCATCTGAGTCACTTTTGGTGTACTATTCAACATTTTCTTCTCCTTTATTGAGATAACTTTTGGACATCCCAGCAGGGAGCTTTGAAAATGAGGGGTTGGGAGCTAGAGATTTGAGCACTAAAGGGAAACACTGTCTTTGCAATGTGACCCATCCATTGGGGCCAGTGTGGGCTGGCAGCACCCCAAGAGAGAGGGAGGGCACCCAGATCTAGAGTAGAGACAGGAGAGGCAGGAGGTGTGCACCAGGCCCCCAGAGCTGCCACACGGATGCCAAGAACAAACTCTTCCCTTTGCCCCAAATCTGTTAGAGGAAGGCTGCCCTTGAAGAGGACAAGCTGACGCGCGGGTTGTCTTTGTATCACGGGAAAAAAGAAACAATTTGAAAACCAGAGAGAGACCTAAAGAAAAAAAAAAAAAGAATTACTTTCATTTTCCATATATTTTATGCAGGGAGGCGGAAAGAACTAGATTAAAATGAGCAAGAATAGCCTACAAGATCCTTAATTGATAAGGGATAAAGAACTCATTTAATTGGTGGCTGTCCTGAATAATATGCATTGGAAAGTGTAAAATCAAAGTAGCACACAGAATAAGAAAAATAACCATGGAAATAAGGAAGTAGTCAAGAAAAGTTCCATAAATTAAATCATAGTTTGAAAGGATAAACTCATGTTAACACTCATTACCATATTTTAATTTCATGGTGATTAAAATTATAATGTAGCATGTATTACCACTTAATTGATCTGCCAACATCAAGTATTTGCAAGTTTCTTTTTGTTCTCCAAAGTCATAAACTATCTATTCTTTGCTGCATAATTTTGGAGGTAATTTCAAACCATAAATATTTCTCTTTATTAAAATTCTCAGGAAATGAGAACCTCGATAGCTACTTATTTATATCTGCTTTGGCAAGAAGCCAGGAAATTCATTTTCCTATATTTTGAATTCTACAAAATTAAAGTGCTAAAGAATATTATCTATTAATCTTCATGCTTCCCTTTATGACAGCTTTACAGTTTAATAGCAACGTTCACATATCCGAGGGTGGCTAGCTATGTCCCTTTAAATCTGAGTATTTTTCTTTTTATAGAAAGCGGTCCCTTGTTGAGGATACAGACCCATCTCACTGCCAAGCCTTGCACCTTTTTAGCACCCGGCCAACCTGCCCCAGACAGAATTGCTCGCCCCCCACTGGTGGTGCCAATCGCCAGAGACCTGGCAATTTTCCAGGCCTCCACCTTGCTCGGGTACCCCTACTTCTTGCACCCCCCTTGGATGAGATGATGTCTTTGTGCCAACCATTTGCTGTAATCAGCCCCGACCCCTGAGAATGTGGCTGCCTCCAGCCCTACTGAGCTCTTCCCTCATTGGTGCATCTGGGCTAGACCACCCTGGTTCTGATGGAGTAAATAGGACACATATGCCACTGTGGAGTCTCATGAGTCTCTTTAGATAAAAATAAATTCAGAAAATTGCAAAACCTTTCAGGGACAATTCTTTCCTAATGATTCTTGACTCCTTTGACACCCCATCGCACTGATTAATGGTCATTCAAATTGACCACCTGGCAGAGCTCACTGTCAAAATCAAAAAGGACAGATTTTCAAAAGTCAGGTATTGCCTTTTGTGCTGTGAAATCCTGCTATGCACGTGTGTGTGGGGGGGGGTGCACGTGCACACGCAACCTTACGACAATTATAAACAGATGCGGTATCTGACTCCTGAAATTTATTGGTGGCCCCCTACCCCACATGCATGTTCTCCAGTACCATTCTTCGTAGCACTCATAAAATTAGCCATTACCAAAAAAAATTAGCCACTACAACGAGTTCTCATATGTAGCAATATGGTCAGATTGAGGCTGGTCAAATATTTTAAGGCTACTAGAAGTGGGAGAAGATTCTGTAGAGATCTTTGTTATGAACTATCTGGAGGTTTAAAACAAAAACAAAAACAAAACCAGGAGGCAACGGGAAGAACCTGTTTTACATCATTACAAGCTATGAACAAAGAAAGATACTTTCAGTGCTGAGTCTCAGTATGGATTGGATCACTCCCCTTAACATTTTTTAAAAGTCTGGCTCTGATGGGGTTTACAATTGAGCACACATAAAATTCATACCCAGGAGAGAGCGTATTAGAAGCAGACAGGGGATATCTCTTGGGTCCCAAGGGCAGAGAGTGTAGCCAAAAGGCCAGTATAAATGAAAGGCAGGATCTAAGGGTAGGGACTGCATAGTCCCTCAGCTGTTCCCTGTTTGGTCCAGCTCGTTTCAGTTCAAGCAAGAGAGAGAAAGAGAATTGAGTCGGCCACTGGCCAGCCACTCGACTGGACCCTCCTGGGCCAAGTGGCTCAGAACTCGGGGTGGGATCGTTTTAGATAGAGTGGCCTCTTAGCAACAATGACCTGATGTCGCTGTAACAAGCAAGATCTCTGGTCAAGAGGAACTTTGTGGCTTCCCACTTTTGGTACTTACTTGGTGGGGAGAGAGTACCGGGGGCTGTATAAAGAGGTTCAGATATTTCACAAAGGGCCAATAGGAGGTGTATTTCATGAAAAGGGCTGGGAGAGTGTGTGCTTAGTCTGGGATTAGAAAATCTAAAGACTGTAGGGAGTGATTCTAGCCTTGGGGTGAGGGTAAGTACAGAACGCAAGAGCCGATGTGAGCCTCTGAAAAATGGGAAGTGACCAGGTTGTGGTCACAGATCAGGAGGACAGATACTGGGAGAGGAGTAAGGAATCAATCAAAGGGTTAACACTATCATCATCTCAGCCAGAGACATTAATTCTCTCATTTCATTCTGATAGCAAACTTCCCACACAGTTAGAGGTGGCACAGTGTGGTAATTACACACCCAACCTCTAGAGTCAGAGCCCTAGCTCCAAATTCCAGTCCTGCCACTCCCCACTGGTAGAATCTTGGGCTAGTGATCTTTCTTGTCATGCCTAAATTTCTTCTCTGCAAAACCCCAGGGAAGGATTAACTCCAGCTCATCTGCTCACTCTGGGGTTAAACAGGATTGGGAGGGGAAGGGAGAAGAGGTCAAAGAAAGCGGACTAACCTTTACTGAGTGATCTATTAGGAGCCAAAGCCTACACAGATATTTTTACATCTTGGTAAATTCCCAAATCTTCATACAAACTAGGAGATCTTAGCTGCATCTCTCTACCTCCACTCCCCTCCCCCCAGCTCTTCCAAATATCCCCATTGATTATTCTGCAGCTCACGTGACTATTCTCCTAGCAGACATATGGTCACACCTCTGCTTTAGTGGGTTCTGTGGGTCCTCATCATCTACATCACACTTTAGTAAGGCACATAGGGTCCTTCCCAGACAACCCCTTTTTCTCCACTCTGCTCCCCATTTTCTCCACTCTGCTTCTCTTCCTGCCAACCCAAACTGCCTTTCTCTGTGACATCGCTCTCCTACTATCTGCATGCTTTTCACATACATTTCCCTTTGCCTTAACTGTTCTCTCTCTCTCTCTCCTCTCTCACTCTTCCGGGGAAAGTTCATCAGTTATTCAGTATCTAGGTAAAATACCCATGAATTCCTTGGGCTGTTGGTGGTTCCCTCCTAATACTCCAACTGTGCCTCGGTTACAGGACATGTGATACTATGTGTGCATTGTGTCCACCCTTTTGCCTGGCCATCTAGCTCACCAGTCTCGGACGATCCAGAGGGCAGGCCTTGGGTCTTCTCCAACCCCACATCTCCAGGGCCTTGCACAGTTCCTAGGGTAGGCTGGTAATCACTGCTTGTTGAATGAATATGACCACTGGAGATTTCACCCTCACAGTCGGTCTCAACTGGTTATTTTGCAAGGATTTTATTCCACTCCCTGTGGTTGAAGCTTAATCATGTTTAGATACAGAAGAAGACAATATGGAATGTTGTTGCTGTGGAAACAAACTTGGAAAATGGCTTTCTTTTCTACTGTGTAAAAATGTAGGAGCCATATCTCATGGCTAAGCTGAACGTGAACACTTACACAAAGGCATTGAAAGCCCGGAGCTTGCTCCTGAGACGCTCTGTGGTAGCCAGCTGAGCGGACCACGGAACGCGCTCCAGGTGCCATTCCAGCATATCATTGTTCTCACTTTGATGAGCAGTCACTGGGTTAAATATTATTTTCAGGGCATCCTACAATGAAATTATTGCATTTTAGTTGGCTTCTGTTTGGGGATTTAAGATGTTTTAAAATCACACCGTGTAACAATTTTTTGAGAGAGAGAGAGAGAAAAAAAAAAAAACCACACTTACCCATTATTTTTAAAGGTTCATTTCAAAAGCCTCTATTCTGTCTTATGTATTTGGGATCAGCCCACATGGAAAGGCTTTCTTGAGATTCTATAGAAATATTTTCCCTCTCCTGCCATGAACTCCTATAAGAAGGGAACTTAAAAATAATAACAAAAACTATGCATTTTGTGATATTTCCCCTTGTGGGATGATTCTTTGTCTAACCACCATGTCTCCTGACTGATTACTACTATTCCTGAAGGAACATGAGGAAATTTTCTTACTCTTTTCACCTTAATTGACCAAAAGCCCATTTTCACGTATCAAAACCTCCATGTCCTATCCGATTTCTGGGGTTCTCTAACTTGACTTTTACCATATCGATAAATTTCCTCTCAGTCTAAACTGTAGTATCAGCCCCAATATCCTTGCCTCAAAAATTGTAAAAAAAAAAAAAAAGGGGGGGGGAGTTTCTCATTTTCACCTGTATAGGATATTACATAATTCTAGCATTGAAGAAAGACTGTATGATGGTATTCAAACTTTCTCTACATGCTTTCATGCAGGAGGTGCCCCTCATGTAACAGATGTGTAATTCACATGTAAGCAGACTTGACAAAAGATAAAACTGAACTCACTGGGTTGTTAAGAGGATACATTGAGAGAGTGCCTATGGAGAATGTAGGGTTTGATGGGGTTCTGTCCTCTTCCCTCAACTTGCTCTTTACTAGCCCTGGGTGACCCCCCATCCATTCTGGGGGGTGTGTGTGTGTCCCCCCACCACCGCTGAATATGTGTATTTCAGATTTTGCCCATGAGTTCCCAATCTACACACTCAACTGTTTACCTGGATTTTCCAGTCACCTCTAACATGATATATATATATAACATTAAACTTACCTTTGGTCTTTCCAAATTGGCTTCCCTTCCTGAACCTCCACATTGGTGAGTGCACTGTCACGCACCCCCTTCGCACTCTTGTGCAGTCTTCATTTCCGATCCATCACCAAGCCCTGTCATTCTGTGACCAAGCCTGAGTGGACCCCTCACTTGTCTCCATCCTGTGCCTCCACCTTGCCTAAGGCTGCCGATCTCTCTCACCCGGGCTCGTGCAGCAGGTTTTGGGGAACCCCTGCCTCCAGTCTCACCCTTCACTGCAGCCAGAGTCCTCACCTTCCCTCCTTTCTCCCTTTCACGGTCCTCTTCTCCTCACAGCGAAGCCAAGCACTTCATGATCCTCTGAATCCTTTCTCTGGTCACCTCTCCCCTCTTTCTTTCCCATTTTCCTAACATCCCACTTTCCAGCAGCACCAAGTGCCTTTTATTTCTTCGAACGCCCAGTGTTTCTCTTACCTCCAGGCCTTTGCACTTGCTCAGATTGGCTGACTGGGAGTTATTAAACTACAAATAGAAAAAAATCCTAGGATTTCTCCTCGGACTCTTTTTCATAGGGAACTGTCTTCATTCACCTCTCCCTTGAACTCCAGACCGTATTTCCAAATGTCTTCCAGCTCATCCTCCCCTTGGATGTTTAACAGTCATCTCAGAATCAACCATGTCCCAACCCATCTTCTTTGTCCACTGACGCCACCACGGTCCATAACACACAATACCCCTCACACACTAGGCACTTTACTTGTTCATTCTGTTCACCATGTGTCTTCCTCATGGCAGGTAAACTCCAACAGAGGGGGCAACTTTTTCTATTTTGTTCAAAAATGAATTCCCAGGGCCTAGTATGGTTCCTGACTGCTGTGGACTGAAGGTCTGTGCCCCCCAAATTCACATGTCGAAACTCTACCTCCCTCAGTCCCCACTGCTATGATGTTATTAGGAGGAGAGGCCTTTGGGAGCATTAGATGAGGTCATGAGGGTAGAGCTCCCACAATGGGATCAATGCCCTTATAAGATCACAAGGGAACAGGCTTCCTCTGCTTGGTTCTTTGCCAGGTGAGGATACCTTGAGAACTTGGCAGTCTGCAGCCTAGAAGAGTGGCCTCCCCAGGACCCGACTATGCCCATACCCTGATCTCGAACTTCTAGCCTCCAGAACTGTGAGAAATAAATGTCTGTTGTATATAAGCCAGTAAGTGTGTGGTATTTTGTTACAGCAGCCAGAATGGACAAAGATATTGATATATAGGGGACACTTGATAAATGTTTGTTGAATGAATAAATGGCCCTATAGCAACAGAATGAAGGCGGATTGAAACTTACCCAGAATTCCTCAGATGTGGATAGCCACAGTGCAGCAGAAAGATCATAGATTCTGTCGGGCAGATCTGCCTGGTTGTGTGACCTAGGGGAACTCATTTAATCTGAGACATTTTTCTCAGTTGACAAAATGAAGATAAGATGGCTCACAAGATGGTTGTGGGCTAATTGATATAATTGGCTTCAACCACACTGCGCTTGGTCCTAAATAAATATATTCTATTCCCAAATCCTGTTCTGACAAAGACTACTGGAGGCTTTAAAAAACTTGGCAAGGTTAGCAAGCCTTTTCCAAAGCAGACCTCAGATGAGGCAACTCGAGAATTAATCAAACTGTGTTCTATAAGGAGCTCACTTTATTAAAAGTGCGATAGGTCTTCTTGGGTGGAACAGGGTTTAGTGTGAGGGTCAATTGAAAAGCATATTCTTGTAAACAGTTGCTCAAGGCATGGTCTCCTTGAGAGGAATTGGGGGCATGAACTCCCCTCACCAACTATTTCTCCCAACTCACTGGGAAATGTTTATTTGAGACATTGTTTACTGAGCTTGGAAGACTGTGCTTTGCCCTCCTGCTTAATGCCTAATAGCTGTACAATTATTTATAATTTCCGTTTACTGCAGTGTGGCCCCCAGTCTTCCAAGGGGCTGAAGAACCGGGCCGTGCTAGGGAGAGGTCCCAAGTTTCTGGAGAAATGAAGTGACAATGCAGTTTTGCCTGGTGCTTAGGATTGTCAGGGCAGAATAGAGCACAGTCCCCTTCCAGGGTGAAGTCGTTAAGGTGCATCTGTGGGGTGATGTTTGCAGACACACTGATGTTTGTTGACATTGCAGTGACCCACAGGAACCAAGCAAATTGGACATGGAGGGAACTGACACATCCTATCAGAATCACAGACTAACACACCTAAAATGGAACCTTAGGAGCCCTTTGTTTCAAAGACCAGAAAAATGAAGCACAGAGAGACGAAGTGACTGGACAAGGGTCACACTGTTGATAAGGAGCAGAAAGACAACTCAGACCTGGTCTGTGTTGTCTCAGGCCCACACCCTTCCTACCGCAGGGTGCTTAGAGCAAGGGAAGAGAGTTCTATAGAGGCTAAGTGACTTGAGTTTTCAATGAAATTTTTAAGGTTTTCTTCACAGTTGGATTAAAATGACCTAAATAAGCTTAGCATCTAATAAATGAGATAATGCATACAAAAGTACATTGTCCGTTATAAAATATTGCCAAACTATTGGGTGAATTGCTGATTAAATGTGTGAGATTAATAAAGAAAATGGTCTGACAGATGGATATGCTCATACAGCATTACACGTCGTAGTTTAACAGCAACCAAACACAGCAAACTGATTTTACCTGCTTTGTCAGCTGCTCCATTGACTCTTTGTTGTTGACTCCAGGGGAGGTAACACACTGAAGGCAAATGTGTACAAGGAAAATGTGCAGAAAGTTAATTTGTACCTACAGCTTTTTATTAAGATTTTTTTCAATTATAAAAAGAGTGCAAAGATGTTGCATTCAGTACACTGAGGAAATACAGCAAAATAGAAAAGAAACTGAAAATTACCTGCATTTGGAAACAGATACTATTAAAATTTTTAAAAAGATATTTACGAAAAACTACTACCCTATAAGCACATGGTGCGTGTGCAGATCAAAACCCCTATCTTCAAACAACAGTGTTCAGTGACTATTTTTTTCCATTAATCTTTAAGAATACTGCAATCGATTGTATATTATTTCTTTATATAGAACTATCATAACTTCTTTATCCACTTGCCTATTGTTGACCATTTATCATGTTAGCAAATTGTCCATATTATAAATATTTCTGAAATGAAAACAGTCCTTCTTCGGCCACATTTCAGATACTCATCCTTCCCAGAATAGATTCCCTAGAAGTTGGATTATGAGCTCAAGGACTATGACATTTTATTTATTTTTTTAATCAGAGAGAGAGAGAGAGCATGAGCAGGGGATGAGGCAGAGGGAGAGGGAGAAGCAGGCTCCCCGCTGAGCAAGGAGCCCAATGCAGAATTGGATCCCAGGACCCCGGGATCATGACCTGAGCCGAGGGGAGATGCTTAACTGACTGAGGCACCCAGGCGTGCCAAAGATTATGACACCTTTTAATCCTCCTAAGCATACTCAAGTGCTCTTCAGAGAATGTGACCTATTTATCCTCGTACCAGCACTGTGTATACATATACATCTCACCACATCCTTGCCAGCATTGTCATAGAAAATAGTTGACAATGAATGAAAGTTTAATGAGAAAAAGGATATTTACGTGGTCTCAAAATCAATTCCCACAAGGTGCTTAATAACTACAAAGGGAAAAATAATAACTTCACAGAAGTGAAACCTTGCAGATACCATGTTAACCAAGATCAAAGTTAGTATCATCAATAATGGGACAAGCTGACATCATGTTCCTCATAACAGGATGCACAGAGAAGGACGCAACATCACTTCTGAGATCTTCCTGCCAAAAATGCATAACCTGAATCTAATTATGGGGAGACATCAGACAAGCCCAAATTAAGAGACATTCAACAAAATCAATGATCTGTATTTTTCAAAAATGCCAATGTCATGAGGTATTCAATGTGTTCTAGTTTCTCTTATGATTGAATTCTGTTCATTATATTATCTGAGTGGTATTGCTAGCACAGAAGAAAGCTACTGGATTTTGTCCATTTTTCTTGTATGCCACCATTTGACTTGTTCTGAATTAATGTTAAGAGCTTCCTGCTGATCCTCCTGCAGTTCTTTTTAAAGATGTATCATCATATTGTCTGCAAATAACAGTAATTTTGACTCTTCCTTTCCAATAATTCTACCTTTTATTTCTGCCTGATGTCTCATTGCATCAGATAGAATTTCTAGAACAGTGCTACTATATAACAATGCAGACACGCAGCATCTCTGCCTCTTCCTGGTTTTAATGGAAATGTTTCTGGTCAACATTAGGAATGGGACAGGCTGTCAATATCCGATGTATGTTAAAGGGAGTTTCTTCTTTTTCCTAGATTTCTATGGGCATTTTTAAACATCAGTCATGGATGTTGAATTTTATCTGAGCATCTTTTTGTCACCTATTGAGATGATTATGTGGTTTTTCTCACTGAGATTGCTGAACTGCTGTTAATGTCTTATTAGATTTTTCTAACATGAAACTATCCTTGCTTCCCTGGAGTACACCCGATTTAGCTGGGGTAGACAGGTCTCCTAGTACTTCGTTTTGCTGTTATTATATTTTCGCCCTTTTGCAACTTTGTGGCAGATTTGTGTTGTATCGACTTAGTGTAGCTGGTGCTGTTTCCAGAATTCCCTTCTCTGCGAAGTTCTGGGTTAAACGGGCCACAAGAGACAATGGTATGAGACTGGGAAGGCAGAAGTGAAGCCCGAGCCCTATTCTCATCATGCTCACAGGTCAGTGCAGGGCACGAGGCATCGATGCCACTCAGAGTTTGTCACTGCTCCACTGGCTCACCTGATTGGGATGGGACAGCAGCCTGGTGCACAGCAACTCCAGCTGCTGGCAGGCCAGCACCTTCAGTTTCACTGACCCCTGACCTGGATACATTTCGGCTCCACCGGAAGGGGACCAATTTCTCCCGCAGATCGCTCCATCACTAAAATTGGAGACTTGGGGGCAGTGAGAGACTGATGTCGATTCCAGTCCATCTTTGTAGGCTTTAGTTCTTGCTGCCTCCACTTAACCTCCATCTTTCTTTCCTCACTGCCTGCTTTGCTCAGGCTCCAGCCTGAGACACAAACACAACAGCCATAAAGAATTTGTGTAACCAGCTCCCACGATTGCATAAGGTCCAACCCATAGATATACCCCTTATGTCCTGTATTCCCTAGTGGTTGTCCTTCTCCGACCTGATCGAAATACTGTTCATGAGTAAGCTTGGTCTAAACAGGTCTTGATCATTCTTTATTGACACCATAAGATTCATCCCCTGACCAGCTCAGCCCTGCTCTGTGCCCTGTGGCTAATCTTTACAAACTGGGGCTCACCTGCCCTCTAGCTTCTGTTGGGCTTGGTCAACATCTGCACTGGCAGAAGTTTGAAGGGCAGGAGGAGAGAGGACAGAGGGCTTTCTTCTGCCTCTCCCCTGAGCCTGGGCCCAGTGGCTGTGACAACGGCCATATCCTCTATGGCTGCAGTTTCTGCTCAGGAGCCCTCTGCCACCATTCAAATCTTCTCTAAGGACATTATTTTTCTCCATGCATAGTTCTCTATTGCAGTATAACAAATTGCCCCCAAATTTCACAACAAACACTATTATGTCTCATAATGTGTGATGGTCAGAAGTCTAGGAGTAGCTCCGCTGGGTAGTTCTAGCTCAGAGTCTCACTTGAGGTTACAGCCAAGATGCTGGCTGGGCTGCATTCATCCAAAGGCTTAACTGGGGCTGGAGGACCTGATTCCAAGTTCTCACATGTGGTTGTTGGCAGGAGGCCTTGGGTCCTGACCCTGTGGGCCTCTCCAAAGGGTTGCTTGAATGTCTTACAAAATGGCAGCTGGTGTCCCCCAGAACAAGCGATCCAGAGAGAGAACAGGGAGGAAGCCACATGCCTTTTAGTTGTAAGTCATACACTCTCACTTCTGCCACATTCTGTTCATTTGAAGGGGGTCACTAAGTCCAGCCCACACTCAAGTGGAAGGGAATTAAATCCTATTTCTTCAAGAGAGAAGTAGCAAAAAAATCTGTGGATGTCCTTAAAAACTTCCACACTCCCTTTGTCCCTTTCAGACTGGGATGGTAATGGCTTCCCATTGTTGCTAGTCTGGAATACCTCTATTTATGTGAACTTCCCTAAATGTTCAATCACACTTCCATAAACAATCTCTTCATTAAATTATCTGTACATAAACCTGTTTGAACATAATTGTTTCTAGAATTTTAATACAATATATTTTGGGGGGTGTGCACAGTTACATAGCATGGGAATTTCATGGGCATATATACGTATGTATTTATATATTATATATAATTATTCTATATATTATATAATTGTTCTATAAGTATATAAAATATATAATCACTACAGAGAGAGAGAATGAATATGAGCTTTTCATGTTTTCCTAAATAAAATATTTAATAATAAAATAAATAAATGTGCCAGGATGGCTGCTGATACTCAGTACCATTCTCCTCCTCCCCTTTCTATGCTCTCTGCATTATAGGGGGTAGAAAACTGAGAATTGCATTTCCCCAAATCCTTTGCAGGCAGGGTTCTGACTCACAGTCTATTAATGAGAGGCACTCACTATGAGATTTAAAAGGCAGAAGGAAACATATGCTGTTATTTCTCCTCCTGCAGCGCAGTGGCCTCAGGGCCCTTCCCGCCAGAGATACCCACTTGGTGGGGAAGGCAACTGTGACCACTGGCAGGGGTTGGTTTCCTGCAGTTGCAGAATGGGGAGACAGTAGCAACTTATTGATTCTCTAAAAGCCAACAAGAACCTGAGTGCTATCGGCCATCTCTCCTAGCCTTCGGTTCTCTGCCTCTTCCAGTGGTTTTGTGTGTTTTTGTTTTTCCAATAGTTTTTTAAGCATATGGTTTCCTGTCCTAAATCACATTCTCCTCAAAATACCCAGAGTGTTTCATTTTCCTGGCCAACTCCTGACAAATAATTAGAAGGCAATAAAAAACCCCCAATATACAATGATTCTTTTTCATTTCTCCTTTCTATAGCAAAAGATCCATTTTGAGATTGCTGATGTCATTGGCCTGATGTCCTCTTAAAATTGTAAAATTCTCTCTCTATGATACACTGGTATAAATCTTAATCTTATTTATTTTCTTGTCACTCTTTTTAAAACTTAGATTTGCCAGAAGTTTTATTTTTATTTTCAGAATCAGCTCTTTGATTTGCATACCATATAAGTTAGAAGTGTATTTGGCTGCTTGCATCACAAAATGAAACTAACTGTAGCTTCAAATAAATATTTATTTTTCTAACATAATCATGAGTTCAGAGTGGGTGGTTGCTGGCGTTGTTCAGCTACTCACCAGGGTCTCTGGGATCTAGTCTCATTCTGTTCTTCAGATTCACCATCCCCAACCCTTTGGCTTTTCTCCTCATGTTGGTGGCTTTCTGGTCACAAGATGGTTATTATGACCTCAGATATCAGAAGCACTGTCAGGATAGAAAATGTGGTTGGGGAAGGGGGGAAACACTAAATCATCTCTGTCTGTACCCCTTTGACCATTAAAGCAAGAGTGGGTCCCAGAAGCCCCGTCAATCATCCTCCACTGATATCTCAGGGATAAGACTTTTTTCACATGACCACTTCTAACTACAGGGGACCCCAGGAAGTTAGTTATTTTACTTTGCAGCTTCTATGGAAGAAGATGACAAAAAATGAGCCTCGGACTGGAACACGAAGAAAACCATTCTACAGTCTCTGAATCTATCAATTGCACAGTGTTTGTTCTGCCTCGTATTTACCTTGCTGTTTATTTTATAAAGTTATTGAGTTCAAGAAGAAAGTTTATTTGCTTTATTTTGTTGTTAAATAATGAAATCACTTTATGCTATGAATTTTCCTATGAGGATAGCTTTGACAATATCCCATGAGTTTTGATGTACTATATTCTTACTGCAATTTTCTAAATAATCTTCAATTGTGCCACTGATTTCCTCTCTTAATGATAGTTTTTTAGAAGAGCATTTTTCATTTCCATGAGATGGAGGGCCTTACCCCTGAACTTTCTTGATTTCTAGATTTACTTTATTTTAGACAGAGAACGTACTCTACTTTTTTGAGATTTATTGAACTGTCCTTTGTGGTCTAGTATAAGGTCTGGTTTTTTTCCCCCTTGTTAATTTAAATTAATTAACATATAATGTATTCTTTGTTTCAGGGCTACAGGTCTGTGATTCATCAGTCTTATATAATACCCAGTGCTTATTACAACACATACCCTTCCCAATGTCCATCACCCAGTTGCCCCATCCCCCTACCCCCAACCCCCCCAGCAACCTTCGGTTTGTTTTCTATGATTAAGAGTCTCTTATGGCTTCTCTCCCTCTCTGGTTTCGTCTTGTTTCATTTTTTTCCTCTCTTCTCCTATGATCCTCTGTTTTGTTTCTTAAATTCCACGTATCAGTGAGATCATATGATAATTGTCTTTCTTTGATTGTAAGGTCTGTTTTTGTAAATATTTCTCAAGCATTTTAATAAAAGGGATAATTTGGTTTATAATATTATATAATATGTATGTATTGTTCAAATTCTCTATAAACCCAGTTTTGTGGAGTTTTATTTTTTGCTCCTAATTTGTCTACAGAAATCACCCAGATAATTGTAAAACTATCAGTTTCTTCTTATGTTTGTAACCATTTTTTTTTTCTTTATCTGGTTTGATGCTTTGCAATTTGGCACTTACGTTTCACGACAATACACTTTGTTATCACTGGACATTGTGGAGTTATGGCTGCCTGGACTGCTGATATAAAGACCTTGTCTTTCTGAACTAGACACAAAATGAAAGAGGGACTAGATAAAACATGTAGATTTTAAGCTTGGCTCAATTACTTAGTAGCTTTGTGGCCCCGAACAAGACACTTAGCCTCGTTGTGCCTTAGTTTCCTCATCTGTAAAATGGGAGAAATAATAGTCCTTACTTGATAGGGTGGTTGAGAGGGTTGGACGATGTAATTCATGCAAAATGCTTAGAGCACTACTTCACACATAGGCAGCACTCAGTAAGTGTTGTTGAAGGAATCAAACAAGGAGACCATCGGACTGAGGTGGCTCTAAGGCCATGAGTAGCCTAGTAAGCAATCCAAAACCTAAGCCAGAGCCAATTCCTGTAAACGCCTCAAGGGTAAGAAGAACAACCGATCACAAACAGCCAACTAGACTTTCCCAAATAATGCAACTGCTTAAGCTACAGCTAATCAAATAATTTCCTTGTTTTGCTTCTGCCTCTTCTCTGAGAAGTCCTGCCCAGAGCTCCTGACCATGGAGTGCTCCAGACCAGTTCCAGTTTGGCATTTCCTGATTCAAACTGGCTTTAGCTAAAATAAACTTTAAAAAATTTTAACATGCCTTTTTACCTTTCAACAGTGTAAATACTATTATTATTCTTACTGTTTTTGGCCTAGCTGGCTTACTTTGTTTTTAGTATCAGAGCAAGGGTAGGACAGAAGCTACATTCTCAAGCTGATCCCATTGGCGTTCAAGTTGGTATTAATTAGTACCAGATTCTAGCAGTTTGTCAGCGCTAGTCTGAAGGTTTTTAAATGCATTTTTGACATTTTCTCTTTCTTCATAGACTTTTATTGGGAGGTTGGAAGAGGTTGGGTCAAGGGTTACTAGCCAGCCACCTTTTAAACCAGAACACTTGTATCTAATTTTTAAAATAACCTCTTTCAGTGTGATTCAAGCTAGGTGGAGATTGATGCTATAATTCAATTGCCATAAAGAAATAACCATTAATGCACTTTTCAGTCCTGGCTGGGCACTTTCTTAATAGCCTCAAAAGACTGTGGACTATTTCAGAGAATCTTTTTGTTTTTATTAGGAGTTCATTTGAGAATTTAGGTCCCATTTTTTCACATGTCATGAATTTCAACACTATCTTTCTGAATCATATCTGATCTACTCTCTAAAACCAATCACAGAATCATCTCTAAAATAGCATCTCTGCTCCAATGAGAGCTCTCTTTCAAAAAATAGTAAGTCTGACAGGCATCACGCATTTTAAATTGAACATAGACTGCAAAGCAGTCTTCATCCATTAGTCCAACTGACCTTTGAATAACCCAGACCAGAAAAGAATAAGCCATAAATCGAAGAAGACTCTAATCCTGGCTGGGACTTGGTGATCCTATCAACTTAGGAGTGGAAACAGCAATCATGCATGACATGCGAATTGTTCTCACAGAAAAGTCAGCCTCCTATAATGGAAAGAGCACTTGAGTAGGAGTCAGAAGATAAAAGTTGTAGTGCTAAACTAATTTCAAAACATACGGGTTACGTTAATTGACTTCCAGAGTCTTAATTCTCGTATTTATAGAATGAGGATAATGTCCGAGGCCATGCCTCCTCTCGACACTGTCTTTTCCTGCCCTCAAGGGGCTTGTGGTTAGTGGAGGAACCGTGGGGCAAAGTAGTAGAGTGGGTGAGCTTTGGAGATTTGGGATTTGAACCAGCTCCACCCACTTATTACCTGTATGACTTGGAGCAAATCATTTGTGTTCTTGGTGCCTCGGTTTCCTCATCTTTAAAATGGGCATGATAATAGTACCTACATCACAGGGTGTTTTGAGGATGAGGTGAAATAATGTATATCAAGCTCTTGGCCCAGTTCGTGGGCCATTACAATAAATGGTATATGCCCCAAATGTGACTGGTTCTCTCTGAGCAGCCTTTGATTTTTTCCCCAAAGCCCACCCTGAGGCCAGACTTAGTTTGTCCCATTCTCCTGAAATCCTCCCTTCCCCTAACACGTCCAGCTCCAGAGGACTGACAAACAATCTTGATGAGAATGAAGATTTCATAGAGGTTCAGAGGAAGGGATAGAGAAATAACTAAAATTTTAGGCAACTAAATTCTATTGATTCTTAGTATGTTTTAGGAATGGAGCTGAATACTTTCCATGGATGATCTAATTTAATTCCATATTTTAATTTAATTTTATTTATTTATTTATTTTATTATTCCATATTTTAATTTTTCTGTATAGCCTCTTCCCTTTAGAGAAAGAACTACTTTCTGAGGATTTTCCTTCTTCTGCCCTCTTTTTCGTCAAGGCACCAAATATTCCCTCTATTGTCCCAAGCAATTCAGTTTTCCCATCAAGTCTCACACCCCATTTAGTGAAACCAAGGCGAGATAGCTAGACTGACCTCTACCTATTCTTCCCCAAGTCACACTGCCCAGGAACTCCCTGGTTCATCCCACAGTACCTGCTATTAGGATCCAGGAGCAGTGGTCCTCATCATGCCATGCTGTTTGGAAGAGTGTCTAATTTCGATCTTGCTCTCCATTTTATCTCCTGTGCCTGATGCAAAGCCTGAGACATAGAAGGTCAATAGTAAATATTTATGGAATGAGCAAACACATGATCAAACTAACATAACAGAGGTCAGAATGAACTGGTGTCTAAACAAAGACAGTGGCAGTGTCCTGTGTGGTACTGGCTGAAAGCATGTGGGAAATTCTCATGGAGAAGATAGGATTTGACCTTGAAAGTGAACTAGGGTTTTAGTAGGTGGAGACTAGAGACAAGAACATTTCAAATAAAGGGAGCTGTGTAATAGCACAAATACAAAAGCGCATATGGTTTGTTTGGTGTGGAGAAGTCATCTGAACAGTCTGCATCATGGAGGTCCGGTGCCTGAACTCCAGAGGTATCTGAACCTTCAGGGAGGCCAGAAAGGGCACAGTCAGAGATGGGGCCGGCAAGCTTGTGGGAGCCAGCTCAAAGGAAGAGACTTCAACACCTTATTTAAGAGTTTGATTTGTAGGCAGTGGGGGAAATCCTCCCAGTGACTGGCTTGCTCAGGTGTGTCCTTTAAAAAGATGACTCTGCTGAGGATGGATTAGGGGGTGGGCAGAGTGAAGATGAGGACAGCGGACAGGAGACAGGATGGTAGCATATACAGGTGAGCACCCCCTTCCCCAAGACTTTGAGGCAACCTCCCCAAGGAAAACTTGTCTGGAGTGGCACTTCCGAAACCTACAGATTTGGGAATACTTGTCATATGAAATAGAATTGTGTCTTCCCTGTTCTTTGCAAGTAGTTTAAATACAAGGTCATGGACAGGAAGTTAGTTAACACAGAAAATATATCATAGATATTAAACCTTCTAATCAAGGCTAACAAGTCTACTCTAATTGGGGCAGGGTGGGGTGAGTATATTCATAAATCCAATGTTTGATCAAAGAAAAGGGAAGAGAAAAGCACTTCTCAGATCCTGGGAGCCTCTCCATTGCTCTCTGCAGAGTTGCCACTAGTTTGCAGCAGGTGCTGGTATTATTAATTCATTAAAGGTCTCTAATACATCCCTAGAACACACAGGATTCCAAACCATAAAACACCTCTGTTACTTTCTGGTGCCAACCCCTCCTTCTGAAGAGCGGTTGTGTCTGCTCACAGCCAAGAGTGTCTGCTCATAGCTACCACTTTATTTTCCTCCATAATCACTTTGTTTGCCATTGCTCTACACAAATTTAAATCTCTGGTTAATTCTGGTGCCATATAATCACCATGGAATTCTCACCCCCTCTCCACTGCAATTTAAAAAAATCATTCCATGCCCATTTGAATGTATGTTACAAGTAGGCATCAAGAGTAGAAGATAGGAGGAGATCAACATTAAGACACAAGATAACAACAGTGACTATAGCAATTCGAAATTGGTTAGGTATGGTGATAACAGATCAGGAAACAGTGCAGGGTGATTTACATTTTCTAGCTTGGCTACTGGGAGGATGGTGATGATATTTGTTAGAAACAATACTGGGAGGGTCACCTGGGTGGCTCAGCCGGTTAAGCATCTAACTCTTGATTTTACCTCAGGTCATGATCTCAGGGTTGTGGGATCAAGCCCTGAGTTGGGCTCTGCGCTCAGTGGAGAGTCTCCTCCTCCCTCTCCCTATGACCCTCCTCCTGCCCCCTTTCTCTCTCCCTCTAAAATAAATCTTAAAAAAAAAAGAAATAGTACTGGGATTTGAGGTGCTATTATTTAGTATTAAGTCAGAAAGCCAGGGTCTATCATAACTCCTTCCCAAACCATAGCCACCCCCCCACCCCACCACCCCCCGCTCCGTGCGACACAAAACCCCTTGGGGCACCGGAGAGCTCTGACTGTCCCCAAGAAGGGCCCCTCCCTCTCTGATGCACTTCACAAAGCTGGCCGGCTTGAGACGTGTGTGATCAGCGGCAGAAGCAGCCCAGGGAGAGTCAGGCCCAGGGACAAACTGATGCTGCCGAAACCCATCTTTCCATCATGCTCTTTTTGTTGGGAACCTATCATCCCATTCATAACTTTGGGAAGATAATTACACCATGCTAGTGAGAGACAAGTTGATGAATAACTGTTTATTTTCAGAGGAGGCACATTTGGTCCACTGGCTGCATAATGGGGTCAGGAACACAGCAAGCTGTCGGCGTGTTCTCTATGTCCTTTAACCGCCTGGCAGGGCTCGACATGGGAAATGGAAAATCTCCTTATGATAGATAATATCATACCCTTGGCCTTGCTCAGAAGCCACACTCTGGAAGCAAGGTTTGTGAGTATGTTACTGTCACTTGTCAAACAGTACCCGTCAACCTTGCCTTGTTTCTGCCCCACCCCAGGTGCCAGCATGGCCCGGTTGTGAGACAGGCGGTAAATAACGCTCCATCTGATGAGGCTCAAAAGAGGGAGTTAGTTGGGTTATAACTGAGCCCCATGTCCTTTTTACTGCAGACCAGATCTTGGACTTACACTCAACCCCTTCAGTGCTTAGAGGCTTAGAAGAAACGGAGAACATTTTATACAATAAAAGCATATAAGTAATGAATTTAAAGTTTGGGCCAAAAAAATATAGGAACTAGCATAATGTTAGCAGCTAACATTTAATGAGTGTTTGCTGTGTGTCTGCTCCTAACCTAAACACTTGACACAGATTATTCAATGAATCCTTGCAAAAAAACTTATGAGGTAAATCACATTATCTATTTTGTAGATGAGGAAATTATGGAACCCGTCAAAAAAATCATTCAGGCAAGAGATGGCTGGAGCAGAATTCAAACTCAAGAGAGTCTGAATCTGGGTTATAAGCGCTTTACCAGGAGGTGTATTTCTCCCTGTGACAAGTGCTGTGACGTGCTGCTCAGATCTCACTCACCCAGGACTGACCACTCCTTTCCCCAGCTGAGGGGAGTGTCGTCCCTCACCGGGGTTACACCATCCATCCAGTGACCATAGGCCCAGCGTCTTGCCCCAATTCAAGACCACTTGGAAGGGCCACCTAGGATTCACAGCTCTCCCAGAATCGGCTGGTATTTTTCATTGTGATTGCATTGTAGTTCACCTTCTGGCTCTGCCCAGCTCTGCTTCTTTTCTCCCCCACAGGTCTTACTGCCAAGAGTATGCCCTGTGTCCTTCCTGCACACACATCTCCACCTCAGAGTCCGCTTCCCCAGACAATCTCCTCACTTTGCGGGGGTCAGGGAAAACCACACTCCAGGACACAGACGGCATCCATGACTGTACCACACACAGACTCACACAAACACTAGGGACTTAGAAGTGAGGGAGTCTTTGGGGGTTAAAATACAGATTCTAACACAACTGATCAGAACCATCATCAGCTTAAAGAGCCAGTATGACCCCCAGCCCCAGACAAGAATTGGAAGTGTACCTGAGCCAAAGGGACTGGTCAGATGCAGAAGCACAGAGAGAAGTGTTGTGCAAAGCGTGCCCAGGGGAGGGAGTGCCCGGCCAGGTCAGGGAAGCACCAAGCCACCAGCCAGGACTGTCCTTACTGGGGAAATGGGAGCCTCAGCTTTTCAGGGCCTGAAGCCATTCAATTTCAGATTCTAGAACTCCTTTGTTCTGCTTCCACACTCACCAAGCTACTATGGAGCTGGTTGGTCAGGCCCACACAGTGATGGATTCGCTTGTCAGGTGTATTGCTCACTATAAATTAATGAGTTGGTGTTCTGATTTTATTTCCACTTCTTAGAGATTTTGTTAGCATGGTGAGCATTCTGAAGTGCAATCCCCCCTGGGAAGTTGATTAAGTAGAGGCTCTTCACCCTGCAAGTTTGACGGGCTGATCCCAGGCTGTGGTGAACCCGCAGGACAATACCTAACAGAGGAATCCCACAAACCCAGCCAATGAATAGCTTTTTCTTCTTTTGAAAAACTGAAATAACATTTTCAAAAGGTGTCACCTTTATCAAGGGAGGAAGGAGGCATATTGAGTTGCGTGTAAACAGAAATGGTTTTGATTTTTCACTTTTCCTCAGACTTCTCTAGACTGATGTTGTCTTTCAACCAGAATACAGAGCAGAGCGAGAGAGCAATTCACGATGATTCGTTTCTGACCACATATCAGGGGAGGCTGGGGTGATAGTGCCCCAAGGAGGCAGCATGGGGTGAGCAGTGCCGGGAATAGAGCAGGGGAACTGAAAGGGACACTACCCAAGGCCCTTGGGGGCAGTGCGGTGCATATGGAGAACAAACGCATTATTGCTAGAAGTTCCAAGGTCAAAGTGTGTATCAGATCCCAGGGGCAAGGAGAAAAACCAGGAGGAATTAGAAAGTCAGAGGCCAGGGCAGTTAGGAATGAGACAAGGTGAGGTCCAAGGAGTGACTTTTGGGCAGCTCACATGGCTAACCCAGTGTTATGGTCTCCCACTGCAGTTCCATTTTTATAAAAATATGAAAGCCAATGCAGTGCGGTGTCCTGGATTGGATCCTAGAACAGTAAAAGGACATTTGTGAAAAACCTGATGAAATTCGCATAAAGTCTGCAGTTTAGTTAACGGTCATTGTAGCAATGCTAATTTCTTAGTTTTGACAGATGTACAGTGTTTACAGAAGGTGTTGACATTAGAGGAAGCTGGGTAAAGGGCACACAGGAATGCTGTGTTAGCAACTTTTCTATAAAGCTAAAATTATTCAAAATAAAAAGGTTATTTAAAAAACAGAAAGGTCTATTTGTTTTGGGTTGGGCCTTAGAAAGGTCTAATTAGGTGAGGTAATGACCTCGTGGGTTCCATTTTAAAAATTCCCTATCTGGTAGAGATACTTATGAAAATAGGTCAGTGTAGAAGAAGTCAGTTAAAAAATATAAAGGCCTATCTGTTCTTTAGCTCAGGAAAGTTTTCTTCAATGTGCCTTTGTGTATTGTTTCCATTCTAATTGCTTTTTCTTTTTTTTTTTCTTTTTTTTTCTTGCTATGTTAATCCCCATACATTACATCATTAGTTTTAGATATAGTGTTCCATGATTCATTGTTTGTGCATAACACCCAGTGCTCCATGCAGAACGTGCCCTCTTT